TTGGGGGAGTGTAATATTGTTCCCAAAATCTGACTTAGAGTACTTTTGTATGAAGATGAGTTAGTCACATTGTGAAAATCTATAAAATATTACAGATTTACTTCAATTTTTCAATAAAGACAAGCCATTATAGCATAATTGCGAGTTTAAAAATAATAATAATAATAATAATAAATAATAAAAATAAATTATTAATGTTATATATATATAAAAGAAAATTATAAATATTTAATGTACATAATTTGATTTAATTAATTAAATCATATAATAAAATCAATTAAAATAATTTTAGTTATTTATACAATTGATATTATTAAAACCAAAAATTAAAAGATTAAATTAATATAAAATTATAATAAATTTAATTTGTTAAAACTACTATGAAATTATAAAATTTTTATTAATATAAAATAAAAAGATTAAAGATTAAATAAAAATATAATAAAAATTGATAAAAATAAATAAATAAATAAAAGAAAAAAGGAATAAAGAAAAAAAGAAATTTAATTTAAAATTAATTATACTGCATATATATTGAACTAAAAATTAATAATAAAGATATAAATTTAATTACAAATATTTATATAAAATAAAAAATAAATTGAAAAAAAATATATATTACATGTTAATATATATAATATATTGTTTGTTTAGAATGATAATAATTTTTTGTTTAATTTTTAAATAATAGAATGATATATAATTTTTTGTTTGTTTAATTTTTAAATAATATAATGATGATAAATTCAAAGGAATTTTTTTGATATGGATCTTAAATTTTTAAAGGATATCAATTAAATCAATAAATTTATATTATTCGACAGAAAATTAATTATTTACTTAATTTTAATATTCATGTTTGAATATATTTTATATAAAATATTATTTAAAATGCCATTATGTGAGCATTCTAATTTTTGGTTGACTGAATCATATGCTTTATTATAATCGTGTGTATTCTCAATGACATATTATTTATCAAGTGAATAAAGTTGTACATGCTACTATTATTCAATTGAGTTTCAAATAATTTTGATTAATTAAATAGTTACCTTCAAAAATAATTACTCATACGTCAATAGTTGGTTAATTAAAATTGATGCGTTTAAACGAAAATAACAATGAAAAGAAAAAAAAATTTGTAATCATAATCATAAAAATGATTATTAAGGTATTTCTTTCTCGTCTTTTTCCCTTGAACGATCTTATCGATTGTTTTTTTTAAAAAAAGGATCCGATAATTCCTATTCGTCACTGTCGTTATACGAACATAAGAAATAATTATCTTATCTGATAATCAAACCTGAAAGTCATATGATTTTATATAATTACGCCACTATTCAAAATTAAGAGATCGCAAGCAGTGTACGTGTCACCGCATTAATAGTATATATACGGTATCCGCACAATTTTCCTCCTACTTTCCCATTCTTTAAGCCAATAAAAATGTCAACCATAATACCAAGCATGCGTCTTTCTGAGAATGAAGATGAATCTTCACAGGAACTTGACGCAAATAATCAAAACAAAAAATACTCTCTGGATTTTATTAATAATGCCGATGATGATTCACCCATTGCTTCTGATCCCTTAAGTTATAACACGATGTTCGACAAACAATCCTCTCCGCCTACACATCAAAGCCAAGAGCGCGAAGATGAAAAACATTCGCTTAATTTTATTATGGCTTCTAATTCGATTTCTTTACCTCATCCAAATCAACCGAGTTTATCAAGCGTGCCTCGTTCAAGTACAATTTCTTTACCTCAAGATTCATTCATGAGAAAATGGTATGATCAGATCGGAATTCAAAGTGATGACGCATTTGCTTCAAGAGTGCTGGATAGGTTATACTTGGGAAGGTTCGTGTTTATCAAATTAAATAGAAATAAGCCCCTTTTTACGTAATTAGCCTTACGCGTATTTCTTCAAATCAGTCTACGGGCAGTATTAAATGAACCGTGGTTAAGAGATCATAAAATTACTCATATTCTTACCGTTGCCGATAGCATTCGACCCCCGTATCCTGAGGTGAACCTTTCTTCATTGAATGATGCATCGTGTTATTATCAATCACATACTTGGAACAAACCTTCGATCTGAACATTACTATCGTGTTAAATCCTCCTTTTTTTTTTTTGGTAATTTCTGGTAGTCTTATATCTATAAGATAATACCGGTTAGAGATCATCGGGCGGAAAATATTTCACAATATTTTGATACAACTTACGAGTTCATACAACAGGCGTTAGGTAGTGAGGATGGGGTTGTTTTAGTTCATTGGTAATTACCTATTTAATTAACGAGCTCGATACGATCATGCGATATAAACTTGTCCATCTAATCTAATCTAATCATCCTTTCTTTCTTCTGCTACTCAGTCAACAAGGAATTTCACGAAGCGCTAGCGGTAAGACAACTGCAATTCATGTCGTCTTCTTTATAATTCTGATTTGAACCTTATCATCATTATTATTGTTGTTGTTATTATTATCATTATCATTATCATTATTATTATTTGAAATTAGTTGTAATAGCATATATGATGCGATCTCAAAGAATGCCATACCAAGAGGCATTGAAGTTTGTAACATCAAAAAGATTATGCATTAGGTTCGTGACGTCTCCATTTCGTTCGACTTTCTAATTTCCAACGATCGCGGTTGTAAATTGAATCTTTGGAGTTAATGACGCGTTGATTTTTTATTCCCTTTCGAAATATCGCTACAGACCTAACCCCGGATTCCAAAAACAATTGATGGAGTTTGAGTCTATATTGATGTTGGATGAATAGTTTTTGATATTCTTCTGAGATCGTGGGACACGAAGAAATAAAGGTAGACACGAGGTAGTAAAGAAGAAGTAAAAATCATTGTTCTTACTTTAATGCACAGATCACACAGCCCTTTAGAACGAGTTGGCTTGATGTCTTGTTGTTTGCTTCTAAGGCACAACTATTAAATAAATTTTCGCAAATAAAGGAAAACGAAAAAAGAAGGTGGTTATTATCGTAGAAAATATTGTGATATGGGATCAAAGGAGAGTTGATTATTGGTTCATGAAAAGTCGATTCGAACAAGAATACCGAGTTGGCTGGCGTGGACATCGGAAGTTCTTGTGACGATGGGAACGAACGAGACAGGATGTTTCATAGCATAACAATGCTCAAAGACTATTTTAAAAAGTGCATTTAATAATTTCACATTTGTTTTAATTGAGAGCAATTTGCATGAATCACATTTTTAAGACATCTTTGTGGACGAACTTTATATGTGAACCTGCTGCATACCAAATTAACGTGCATATACTGCTACAGTTTTAGCCGAATTATGTCGAAAAGCCACAGAAACATGTGAATTGGCGAGTCAACATTATAGTTCCATTGCGGTTTCACTCGTATAATATGTCATACACCTTGTTTTCGATGATTCAAAGTTAAATACTAGGTATCGATTTTTACTATACCGACAAGATGCAAATAAATATAAATATTCACTCATTCAAATCAATTGCTTCAGTTTATACTTTAAATTTTATTTTAAAATGTGAATAATAATAATAATATTTATTTTTTTTTTAATAATTAAATATGAAATATACAGTATATAGTATATTAGAAATAATATAATGTGATATGGCGGGTACCAGAAATTCTGCGCTTCTCATTTATTTTATTTGATGAATGAATCAACCGCATTAAATTTAAACGTGATATACTGTATGTACCATTGAAGTAAATTAAATGATTCATTAATTGAAAAAAAGAAACAGAAAAAGAAATCAAATATGGTAACCTATTTTTAAACGTTATTCCATATGCCGCGACTTAAACCCATTTGTTCTGATTTTGATAACCGCCGTCACTGCATTTACATGTGTTTGGATTGTACCGTGCGTACAATACGCTACGCTTAACCAAATACAATAATGATTAGGGAAATACAAATTTCTTTTATATTCTAGCTCCGGTTTTTTACTATTGTTGCATAGAAGACCGTAATATCGTAATTAACGTACGTATTGCACTAATATTTGTCTAACGATCATTTGGAGATCGGGAGAATACCATCCGGCTTCGAAAGCACTGGGCAGTAACAGTATCGGAAAAAGTCACTAACATAATGGCACGATATTTTGGGGATGTGCAAATGAGCACTTACTGTATGTGCGGTTACGACTAAAACAACTGACCATTTGTTTCATTGGAGGACAGATAAACAAAGAAATTTTCAATTACGCACGCACGTAATTTTTCAACGGGAAAAAACAAATGGTCGTGATGATTTTTACATATGCGCAATACGTATGTGCGTACCGAAAAATCCCGTCCAGCTGACTCCCCTATTGATGTAACGATAATAAGGTAACTAGCGACGACCAAACGGTTGTGAAAGAAGAGTTCCTTGTTTAAACCATTTGTAGATACTGTATATCCTTGTGACATTAAATTTTGAAATACTGTGTTAGCTCTTTTCGTTCCACGTGTAAGTTATTACATAAAAATTGCTCACGTAATTGCATCGCCCTAGGCTATTAAAGTAAAATGTTTGTGTTATTCGACACATCAACACATATACCGGAATTTTTACTGCAACGTTGATGAATGGTATAAATATAAATATTTATTGCGATTTCTTGTTTCTTTGTCCCTTGGTCCCTATAGACAGGCAAAGTCTCATTGACCTTTTCGCATATATTCACACTCACCATATTCTCGTTCATCTCACCCTTTTACTATTATTATTATTATTACCACAAAGCTTTCTTTTTTTTTTACTGTGGTTGATTACATTACAATAAATCCTACGCCTTTCATTTTATTCGTCCTGTTCATTGTATAATAGAAAATGAGTGATCCTTTAACCGAACAAAGCCCTCTAGCTTCTGAAACCGCTGAGCTTCAACAACTTGATGAGAGTTCGGATCCGCTAACAAATTTAAATGGATGGAGTCTCATAGGATCGGAAAAGGAAGATCTTCCAATGAACGAACATCAAACTGGTTACCTAACCGCCATGTATGCTTCCGAAGTTATGCCCAACTTGTATTTGGGAAGGTCAGCACTCTAGAAGAGTTTGTTACAATCTCATTGTCATATTTTATTGTGTTAGAATTCGGTCGTACTAAATAAATGTTCGAATTGAAACCTTTGTCCTTGAATGATTGCAGTAGAACGGCTTCTTCGGACAAGGCCTGGCTTATGGATCATAAAATTACCCATATACTCACAATCGCGGAAAAAAATCCACCTTTGTATCCAGAGGTTAGCGTTGTCGTGTTCAAAAGAATGTCATCATGTATTTGCTGAGCTCACCCAACAAATTACTTTGCACTATGAACATACTGTATATGTATTCAGTCTTACTCGTATAAGGTAATAGAGATTCGGGACTATACCACCGAAGATATTATGAGACACTTTGACGATACTTATAACTTCATCCAACGAGCATTAGAAGAACAAGGAAACATCCTCGTTCATTGGTATTTAATTAATCTCTTCGATTCATATGTGATTGAGAATTTGAGTCGGTTTCTTTTAACCAATGTTTAACCAATGTTTAACCAATTCCCTTTCCCTTTTAGTCAAGCCGGAATTTCACGAAGTGCTACAAGTATGCAATTTTCCGATGGAAATTCTCAAATAATTTTTCTCGTTTAAATTAATAACCATCCTCGAAAAAATCGAATAGTTGTCATAGCGTACATAATGAAAAGTCGGAAGACATCTTTTTATGAAGCGCTGGAATTTGTCAAGAGTAAACGACCAGTCATCTGCCCAAATTCTGGATTCCGGAATCAACTAATGTTATACCAAACGATGGGATGCCAAATAACAAAAAAAAGCCCAAAATATTGGGGCTACATGGCGAAACGATGGAGTAGAAAAATTTTAATGTAGGAATTTTAATTACCTACTCTTCCATTCACTAACAACGATTTCAATTGATGCATTCATGTGCATACTTTCTGTATACGTAAAATACTTGTAGCTCTGATGATCGCGTTATCCTTGACTAGCACAGCCTTTTGCATCTATCACATGCAAAAATTCATCTCGCGGACCTCCCGTTTTCTTCACCCTTTAATCACTCTTGTATTCAAAGAAATTCTGTTCAGTTACACCAAAGGCTCCCCGCGAATCTGTAATCAAACCTAATTTTCATGTAAAAATTTTTTTATGTTACTCGATATTTCCCACATATAAAGATACACATCAATATTTTCATTGTCCATAAAACTTTCGAGGTCATGGTATGTTCTATACCAAATATACGGACTCCACATGGAATTCAATCAAATAAGTAAAATATATCAAATGTATATGTATGGCGTATTTAGTATAAAGAAATACACACTTTTGCATTTATACGCCACCCTCTATTGTTAAAACGTGTGGTCCCAAATTTGATCAGATTGCGCATGTGCGCAGTCAGTCGGTGGAACAAAAAATTATTGGCAGGCAGATTTCCGACTGCATTATAGATAATAAATATTGTCCATTTAAATTCTCCATCTCGTCAGATATTGTATATGTATAGTGACTTTCAAAAATATCAAATCACCAGTTTAATTTTTACATTAAAACATAAAAGTTTCAGATTATAGGAAAATATTCAACTTTTTTAATTCATAAATTTTCATAGTTGAGTTTATTTATCATTTATAATTTCTTAGAAAATATTCAAACCTATTTTAAAAATACTGATTTTTAAAAATTTCTTTACATTATAAAAATAATAATTTGAATTTTTGAAAATTGCCATTAAAAAAATCCTTCACTAATTTTTATTTTTCTTAAAAAAATTTTTTTCAATAATTTTCTTGCAAAAAAAAAAAAAAAAAAAAAATCAATCTTAAAAACAAGAAAAAAATAATATATATATATTTTATCTAATTACTAATCAATATATCATAAATATAATCTGCAGTAGTGACCTGCAGGCAATGATATTAAAAGTTGGAAGGGTCTTCACCTGAACTTTTAATGGTGCGAAAAATCACTTCCAAAGTTGCACTTAGAGTAATTACTGAGACGAGTGAGCTAGTTAAAGTTTTAGCTTTAGCGATTCATACTATATGTACAGCTTACAATTGTTTAATAAAGCACTCATAACTAGCCTGACAGAGGGTTTAAAATATATATATATATATATATCATAAATATAATAGTAACAATTTGATAAAAAAAAACAAAAATTTTTTTTAACAAATATAAATTTTTATTAAATAATAATTAGTTTTTTAATTACATGAGTTATTTATTTAATCTAATTTACCCTACCTATTTATTCTATATTAAATCTTACCAATTTTACCATTTATTTAATACTATTTTATCAATCATACTGCTTTTCCCAAGTATCTAACATTTCAAAAAACTATTAAAGAACTTATTTTTATATTAAATAGAGAGCTTCATAATGTGTATTCCTTAAATAATACTTCTTTATCTTGTTATAGATACTATAATAGATCTCATTATGTTTAATTCTAAGGAAATTGATTGTATTCTAATGTATCTAAGGCCAATGATATACTGTATATTGATATTCCAGTGATTTTTTTTTTTTTTTTAAATACCAGCTCAGTATATTTATTAGCATTAATATAAACAAATTCAAAGAATTACATTGAAAGTATCATAACTATTATATTAGCCATATAAACTATCTAAAACTAAACAGTTTACTAGATTGCTTTTTGCTGCTCCACCAATGAGGGGGAGAACTAGTCTAAGGTTACCTTTCGGTTAGTGCAAAAAATATAGAATAAAAGAAAAAATAGCAGGTACTGTTGTGCAAAGACCAAAGTTTCTTCTATTACCAATCATCTACTGAGACTAATGGTAAGAAATATTCAACATCTACAAATTATCCACTGAAGTACTGTATCTTTATATCTTTGAAAGGAAGGGAAGAGTGTTCTTATTCCAGCTGGGGAGGGGTATGATTTCAGATGCCAGCTTTGTTGATATTATCTCATCTGGTATTTTGCCTAAAGGATTGCTTATCCAAAGATCAGGTGGGACCTATGACTAGAAGGAATCTTAAAACTATGGTAGGTTGATGATCTTATTCTAAAGATAATATCAGCTTCAAGCATATGCTGCTTATTTAAGAAGGCGCAACTCTTCCAAAGTTAAGCTAAGTTATTAAAAGGTCTTTCAATCTGGTAGTCATTTCCAACTAGTACTTTTACTAAGAGTAAGATTGGTGGATATCACTAGTGGTCTAAAAAAAACCATGTTAGAGAGAAGTCATGTTAAGAGTCTTGATATAAGTTGTCAGCTTATGATCTTTCTTTTTGTGGGGCCTGTTATGTCTCTTAATCCTGCTTGTTTCATCTTTAAGGTAGTTTTATGTCCAGGATGTCATGCTTTCTTGAGCCTTGTATTGTTCCTTCAGCATCGTATCAGACTGAATTTATCTTGTTGTGAGCATATCAGGCTACTTCTATCGATATATAAGTTCTTTTGTCTATGGGCTTATCCTTTCTCTCTTTTTCTTTTCTTCCATGATGTAGAAGATGATTGTATCCTGTATTTACTTGCATAGCTACAACTGACTTATGGTGAATCCCAGGTTCTTATGAGACTGAGAAAATGCATTTAGATACGTGAGGTGGTTAATAGAAGTTTGTTTATCAATCTTTGTCAACATATTTTATATCAACCAATCAAAATTGGCAGGATTTGTGCTACCTAAAATTCAGGGTCAAGCTGAGGTAGACAAAATTTTCTCAAAAGCCATAAAATGGAAGCTTTAAGAGGCCAGAAGATCATGTCAAGGGGAAAAAATGAGTCCTTGACTGGGACTAGAACCTTTATCATAACTTGTCTTGTTCCTCCACTTCAAAAGAGTGATAACAGGTACTATGCTGGTTGTCTTTCTCCTTTTAGGAACTTTTTTGCCATTGATAGTAAAGAAATGAGTTGAACTTTGTAGGCCATAAGAGTTCAGTTTGTCCAAAAATGATTATAAACAAGAAGGAAAGGGTATAGATGGCTCCTGAAGATTTCCTTCAGGTTGGATTAAGGAGAGTGTTAAGACTTTATTAGTAAAGAAGTATTAAAACTTCTTGCGAACATCTTTTTTGTGTGTGGTCAAGGGATTAGCGAAAAAAGTTTCTTTTTATTCCAGTGATTTAATGATGTATTCTATGATTAATATTTAATATTTTATTATATCATTTTTAATTACTCTTCAAATATAACCTTTCAGATATATTCTTTAATTAAATGAAACCTTATAACTTCTCTCAGATATATTAACTCTTGTAGTTTTCATCATGATATTAATACTAATTATTAACCTAAGTAACAGTCATCCTCTTTATTAACTATTGATTTAATAATTGTATAATATCCCATAATACTTTTTGATCTATACTAGTTATATTTTCAATTGATATTGGTAATTTAAGTTTCATATCTTTCTTAGAGGGTATTTTTTAAAAGGGAATAAATTTCTCACATGTTTGTTGAAAACTTGAACCAATTAAATCTTTTCTGGCTTATTTAATATTTTCACATATTCCAAATAACAAAATCTTAAAGTTTTTTCTATTGTGTTAAAACCAATCGAGGTTATATAAATTAATTTATTATATTGTGATCAAATAGTAAAATTTGATAGGTGATTTGTGTACAAGTATACATGTGACTAATAAGTATACATCTTATACAATATGACCTATAATTGAGATTACTATTCATATATGAAATTGAATCAGTAATTCCTGGATAATGATATGGGAATATATTTATTTTACTATTAATATACAGGTCTATAAAATTTTTTTAATAATAATAAAACTTTAAAAATTATATATAATTTTTATTTATATAATTAAGAATTTAAAGTTTAAATTTATAATAAAAACATGATAAGTGAATTCAAATTTTGAAAACAATTATATTTATTTGAGTAATATGATATATACATTATTATTATTATTTTTTTTTTACTTGTAATCATGTCATAATAGCTTGTCTTTATTGAAAAATTGAAGTAAAAGAAAATAAATTGCTAATTAGTTATTTTGTTTATCTTTTTTTTTTGTTTAT